TCCGTCAATTGAACTGGATTGGCTTACGAGACGCAACTTTGGGATCGATATTGTTAACGGCTTGGCTTATCTTCATGAGTGCAACATTTTACATAAAAATCTGGTAATTATAAATGCACAATAATATAATCCCATTATATTGTACAATACGTTTAATGTTTTAATATAATTAATAACATTGTTGTTTAGTCTTCTCACAACATATTGATTCATGCCGGAGTGGCGAAAATAACAGACTTTGGTTTGTCTGACTTGACCTTAAAACAAAAAAGTTATTTAAACAATAAAGGAAGTTTTGCATACCTTGATCCCAGATGCATATATGACAGTGATACCAAACGCGATCAAAAGTCAGATATATTTAGTTTTGGAGTGGTATTATGGGAAATATCTAGCAGAAGAAAACCTTGTGATGGGCTCCAGAATGATAACGACATCATAAGTTATAGATTAAATAACAAACGAGATGCCCCAGTCTCAGGAACTCCGGAAGAATATATCATATTGTATTCAGAATGTTGGGATGATGATGCAGAAAAAAGGCCATCATGTGAACAAATTTCTGAACGATTAAGCCTGCTATTTAAAAAAAGAATGACTGCAGAACATCCATTGTCTGATGAGCTAGTGAAAATATATCAGGAAGAATTGTTAAAAGGAAGAACTCACAAGCAGATTGCTAATTACATTAAAGATTGGCTAACACATAATGAATGTTTAAGTGATAGTAGCCCTATTACAAAACTCAGAGATCATACAAATTGTGAGCAATGTTTTTGGTTAACTGGCTTTTGCTATGCTCATGGAATAACTGTTGGAAAGGACATCAAACAAGCAATTTATTGGTATCAACTGTCAGCTGAACAAGGAAATGCTGTGGCACAATATAATCTGGGTTTGTGTTATGATTATGGAACTGGACTGAAAAAGAATGCTGAAAGGGCAGTAGAATTGTATCAAATAGCAGCTGAACAAGGAAATCCTGGTGCACAAAACAACCTGGGTTTGTGCTATGATAATGGAACAGGAGTAGAAAAAGATAAACAGAAGGCAACAAAATGGTATAAACAAGCAGCTGAACAAGGGTATGCTATGGCACAAAATAATCTTGGTCATTGTTATCAAAATGGAAATGGAGTTGAAAAAAATGAGAAAAAAGCAGTAGAATTGTATGAAAAAGCAGTTGAACATGGAAATGATTATGCACAAACTAACCTTGGTCATTGTTATCAATTTGGAATTGGAGTAAATAAAGATGAGCAAAAGGCAGTCGAATTATATAAAAAGGCAGCTGAGCAAGGAAATGCTATGGCACAAAATAATCTAGCTTGGTGTTATGAAAACGGAATTGGAATAGGAAAAGATGAACAAAAGGCAACAGAGTTGTATAAAAAAGCTGTTGAACAAGGAAATTCTTATGCACAAAATAATCTTGGCTGGTGTTATGAAAGTGGAAGTGGGATTGGAAAAAATAAACAAAAAGCAATCAATTTATATAAAAAAGCAATTGAACAAGGAAATGCTTGTGCACAATACAATCTTGGTCGTTGCTACCAATTTGGAATTGGTGTTGAAAAAGATATACAAAAGTCAGTTGAATTATATAAAAAAGCAGTTGAACAGGAGAATGCTTCAGCACAAAATAACCTTGGTTGGTATTATGAACATGGAATTGGTGTGGAAAAAAATATACAAATGGCAGTGGAACTGTATGAAAAATCAGTCAAACAAGGAAATTCCTATGCACAAACTAATCTTGGTCGCTGCTATTATTATGGCATTGGAGTAGTCAAAGATGAAAAACAGGCAATGGAATGGTATAAGAAAGGGGTTGAGCAAGGAAATGCTTATGCACAATATTATCTTGGTTGGTGCTATAAAAACGGAATTGGGGTAGAAAAAGATGATCAAAAGGCAGTAGAATTGTATAAAATAGCAGCTGAACAAGGAAATGCAAATGCACAAAATAATCTTGGTCATTGCTATCAGTATGGCACTGGGACAAATAAAGATGAACACAAGGCAGTTGAATTTTATAGAAAGGCAGCTGAACAGGGAAATGCTATGGCACAAAATAATCTTGGTTGGTGTTATGAACATGGGACTGGAGTGAAACATGATAAGCAAAGGGCAGTAGACTTGTATAAAAGTGCAATTGAACAAGGAAGTGTTTATGCACAATATAATCTTGGTCGTTGCTATCAATTTGGAATTGCAGTAGAAAGAAATATACAAAAGTCAGTTGAATTATACAGAAAAGCAGCTGAACAAGGAAATGCATCAGCACAAAATAACCTTGGTTGGTATTATGAACAGGGAATTGGTGTGGAAACAAATATACAGTTGGCAGTCGAACTGTATAGAAAAGCAGCTGAACAAGGGAATCCTTTTGCACAAACTAATCTTGATCGTTGTAACAGACATGTGCCTGTGGTAGAAAAAGATGAAAACCAGACATTAGAACTGTATAAAGGATTAGTTGGGCAAGGAAATGCCCATGCACAATATTATCTTGGTTGGTGTTATGAAAATGGGACTGGTGTTGAAAAAGATGAGCAAAAGGCAGTGCAACTGTATAAGAAAGCAGTTGAACAAGGAAATGCTAATGCACAGAATAATCTTGGTTATTGTTATCAAAATGGAATTGGGATAGAAAAAGATGAACAGAGTGCAGTAGAATTATATGAAAAAGCTGCTGAACAAGGGAATGCAGATGCCCAGAATAGTCTTGGTTACTGTTATGAAAATGGAATTGGGATAGAAAAAGATGAACAGAAAGCAATAGAATTGTATGGCAAGGCTGTTGAACAAGGAAATGCTTTGGCACAATACAATCTTGGACGTTGCTACCAATTGGGAATTGCAGTGGAGAAAAATATACAAAAGGCAGTTGACCTGTATACAAAAGCAGCTGATCAGGAAAATGCAGATGCACAAAATAGTCTTGGGCATTGCTATAAGAGTGGAGCTGGAGTAGAGAAAGACATTGAAAAAGCAATAGAGTTATACAAAAAAGCAGTTGAACAAGGAAATGCAGATGCCCAGAACAGTCTTGGTTATTGCTATGAGAATGGCATTGGAGTAGAAAAAAATGAACCAAAGGCAGTAGAGTTGTATAGGAAAGCAGTTGAACAAGGGCATGCCTTGGCACAAAATAATCTTGGTCATTGCTATCAGTTTGGAATTGGAGTGGATAAAGATAACCAAACAGCAGTTGAATTGTATGAGAAAGCATCTGAACAAGGAAATGATTATGCACAAAATAATCTTGGGTGGTGTTATGAAAGTGGAACTGGAGTGGAAAAAGATAAACAAAAGTCAGTTGAACTGTACAAAAAAGCAGTTGAACAAGAAAATGCTTTGGCCCAATATAACCTTGGTCGTTGTTATCAATTTGGAATTGCAATAGAGAAAAATATGCAAAAGTCAGTTGACCTGTATACAAAAGCTGCTGATCAAGGAAATGCTTCAGCACAAAATAATCTTGGTTGGTATTATGAACATGGGACTGGGGTGAACAAAAATATACAATTAGCAGTTGAATTGTATAAAAACGCGGCTAAACTAGGAAATTCTTATGCAAAAGCTAATCTTGGTCGTTGCTATCAGTATGGAATTGGAGTAGAAAAAGATGAGAGGAAAGCAGTGGAATTATTCAAAAAGGCAGTTGACCAAGGAAATGCACATGCACAATATTATCTTGGTTATTGCTACCAGTTTGGGGTTGGAGTAGGAAAGAATGAGCAATGGGCAGTTGAATTATATAAAAAAGCAGTTGACCAAGGAAATGTCAAGGCACAGTACAATCTTGGTTGGTGTTATCAATTTGGTATAGGTATAGCAAAAGCTGAAAAGAGAGCATTAGAATTATACAAAAAAGCAGCTGAACAAGGAAATACTAAAGCACAAAATAGCCTTGGTTGGTGTTATCAATTTGGTATCACAGTTGAGCAAGATGAACAAACAGCAATTAAATGGTATCAAAAAGCAACTAAACAGGGGTATGATATGGCACAGAATAATCTTGGTTGGTGCTATCAGTATGGTGTTGGAGTAGAAAAAGATGAACAAAAGGCAGTGGAACTGTATACAAAGGCAGCTGACCAAGGAAATGCATGTGCCCAAAATAATCTTGGTTGGTGTTATCAGTATGGAACTGGAGTCAGAATAGACAAACAAAAGGCAATAGAATTATACAAAAAAGCAGTTGAACAAGGAAATGCTATGGCACAAAATAGTCTTGCTTGCTGCTATCAACTTGGAATTGGGGTAGAGAAAAATCTTCAAAAAGCAGCATACTTGTATAAAAAAGCAGTCAGGCAAGGAAATGCTTATGCACAACATAATCTTGGTTATTGTTATCAGTATGGAGCTGGGGTTGATAAAGATGAACAGATGGCTGTAGAATTGTATGAAAAAGCAGCTAAACAAGGGAATTCTAATGCACAGTTTAGTCTTGGCTTGTGTTATGAAAATGGAATTGGAGTAGACAAGGATGAACAAAAAGCAATGGGATTATATAAAATTGCAGCTGAACAAGGAAATAGTGGTGCAAAGAATTATCTTGAAGGCTATTTTTATAAGAAAAAAGGTGTAAGAAAATGATTGATATATAGTTTATTAAAACATAATAATTATTATATTGTGTTATAAGTTAACAACTGTCCAGTTAAACTCATTGAATGATTTATTGTTTTTATTTTTATCTGTTAGCTATACTTATACTTTCTAAATATGTTATGTTATATTATTATCTCTTTTTTTTTTAAACTTGTTTTTACCTGAGCATTCCTAAATAAGTTTGCATTTTATCATGTACTAGCTAGCGCCAAAAAAGCTTTTTATAGTTGTCAAATAAAGTTTGACATTGTAAAACATAATTTTGAATTTCTGATGAGGATGGCGATCATTATGAAAACGATGAAAATGAGAGATTCGAAAACATTGTTGAAAAATAAACGTTGGTGAAAATAGTGAGCAAACCAATCCACAGGTCGAAAATGAACTGCAATGACTCATCTTCGGAAGATGATATCGATCTCATAGAACAGTATAAAACTGGATTCTTTATCCAAGATACATGTATTTATAGACCATTCCGCATATTTCCGTCAAGCCGAAATCGTGCACATATGCGTGTCGGATAGACACCTGGCTGAGATACAAATTACATGGAGAGTTTACTGAGAGAGATAGAAATTATGTTACGCTTTGCCTGGAGGACTTAAGGAAATGGAATGATGGAGAGACTGAAGATAGGATAACAGGAGAAGATGATAGTATGTCCGAAATCTTTGAAATGTGGCCCGAGCGAATCCGGCAATATGATGAGCGCAATCAACCGGTGAGTATAATTGATTCTCAGTTGCAATTTAGATACCGAGTTCCGTTAATTAATCAAATTGATAAATGTTATGCAGAATAAAGCGAATAGTATGTGTGACCCAAACTGTCACCGCAACAATGGGGTCTTGTATTAATCGTTGACATTTTGTTGTTGTATTAATTAGTCAGAAGCATTT